ACCATTTAGATTTTAGAGCAGTGCTAATTCGTCGATCATCGAAAAGCTGATCAACTCAATACAAAGCTGAAATGCCATAAAAGTCATGCCAGTATCACCACCATGTCGTACCCGAGGATGTCATCTCAGCGAGTAGAATATCAGACTTACTTACATATTTACATTACGTACACGAGTTAGTTATCTATTGATAATCGCTCATTCACAATTTTTCATGGGCAAACGCGCATAATTTAACGCAACAGAATAAGCAGTGTTCCGCTTTAAAGAAGTGTCATGCCGAGTTAGGTCATGGCATGAAAGTTATAATTTACGTCTAATATGTAATTAACATGTAGCTAGATCATCAGCGCGTCAGAAGAGGCGAGCATAACGAAGGATCTTGACTTTTTTGGAGCAACGAAGTTAGAGAGCCGTAAGTACTAATATTAATAACGAACACATAGACAATCTAAACAATAATTAACGACGTTAGAATGTTTAAGACTGTTAATATAAAAAAATATTAATTGATGAATACCGTCCAAAATCTTGAAACGTCATCCTACACGAACGATGTACAGTTGTACACGAACATTCAATGAGTCAGAACGTATTAGTCAATTAGTGTATGGAAACGAACTGACGCGTGCATGAAAGGCCGGGAACATTCAAGAGCGTTGGAACGTTTGTGTAGATAAACCATTTATGTGTACGCACAAGCGTTGGCAATCTTTAAACAGAGGCAAAAAGGCATCGTTTTCATTTATAATAAAGTACGCATATCAGAGAACTCCATAATTATAGGAGTGCGTTTATATCTAGAAAGCTTTTGAAATGTGAATGAGCGTACGCGTGAATGACAACCCTTAACTGTTTTAGAAAGTGGAAAGTTATGAAAACGAAGAAGCGATGGCCATCAGAAATTTTATAATGGACATGTAGCGCTATTGTTATAAACCGAAAAAACTAGGCTAGGTTAAGATTGGCAAGATCGTAAACAAAGTCATATTGGAATCTGTAATAATTTTGAACAGCGAATGATTAGTTGTATTCTCAATTTCAAGCAGACCAGTTCAAAATTGAAGGATTCATGATAATTTGAGCTGCAAAAAAAACTGCGTTTTGCATGAGTCAGCTGGCAAGTTCACGAGTGAGTTCGGAGAAGTGTCGATCAGGCAACATTTCGGTAAATTTTGTTCAACCATTTCGTTCGCAATAACCCCCTGATGTTCGAAACATGGCCAGGAATATATCATTTGGAACTGCGCTTCCATGATTCAGCTTAGCTGGAATTTGATTTTCGTGAATGTCTCTTGAAAAGCCATGAGAAGCAACGCATCTATCCACAATAATTTCATCTGTTGACGCACATTAGGCAGTGCTTGCTCCTCATTATGAGTTCATGATCGCATTCCTTTATCTCAAGTGTTTTAAGCTTGCTTTCAAACTTTTCTAATTAACTTGACGCTTTGAAATTGTTTAGTCCATAAAACTTCGTAGTTTAAAAACTACACCACACCTTTCCACGTTAAGATACGTTGACGGCCAACTGGTCAGTACAAAAGTGGTTAACTTCGAAGAAAGTGAAATGTATTGGGAACTCATCGGTATACACTTCAAATGATCAATTTAACATTTTTTTTTTCTTAGTGTAGCGGCTAAGAGTACAAGGAAAAAAATTGGTAACGTCATGACTATAGGTCTTGGCCTTTAGGTCATAGATAGACATACAAACTTATAACATCGCAGCCGCAGCTTGCGTCAGCCCGCATCAGCCTCAACGCTTTTAGTCTGGCCGTACCCTTATAACGCTTACGCCGTGGCTGACGTCGGGCCCACCGGGCCATTGCAATGATTGCCGCTGCTCGCGTCGTGGTCTCGTGAGGCCTGGGGCCGTTGCCCGTGGGCCAGTGGTTATTGGCGAGCGGTTTCGAATTTTTCCAAACTTCCTTCTTATACTCCGTGTCAATCAATAAATCTTAAAATCAAATCACATCCAAGATGAAAATCGTTCATCCGTTCATCTAAGCTCCAGGATAGGATAAGTAGTTTTTCAATGCGATTTTTACGAGTGAATCGAGTGCGAAGAATGATTTATTCCCCTCAAGATATTTTCTCTTCTATGACAATTAAAATAAAACGGCAGTTTGATGGCTGACTACGATGGAAATGGAGTCCCAGGTTTTCCAGGTATCCACATATGAAGCTCAAACCATTGAAGGCGCTGTCTTTCATGTTATTACTTTATAGGCAATCAAATACTTATCTTATTACTTCATAAGCTTCATTACTTTATCTAAGAAAACGGCAGTTTAAGGGCTGACTACTGTGACAATGGAGCGCCAAGGCTTCCAGCTCCAGCCTCCAGGTATTAATGCCGTTAGAACTCAGAACGTCAGAAGCAACGGCTTCTCGAAAATTGAGACCTGCAGCCGTCATCGCGGTTTCGAAGTAACAGGATTCTGCCAACAAATATCGATGATCAAGGTCTTCAGTGCTTCAAAAATGAAATATTCTAATAAACCTTATCTTACACCAGTTGCTATATTTTACCGCCTTCTCCAAATTAGAACCCTAATTTGGAATAACGAACTGAGAGGAAAAGGAAATATTTCAGTAATCCCTCTCAGTTTTTTGTTAGAGTTATTTCAAGGGTTTAGGGTTGACTCGCTTATTTATTCACAGGATATTCTTTATTAAAATATTTGAAATGCTCTAAACCCATTTGCATTATAAGAATAATTAAAACCAGAAACATTAAATAAATTGAGATCTTAGCAAAAATAGATTTGACAGAATCGCTAAGCAAGAATTAATGTTCATCCTGCGGTTAGAAATTATCGGGAATAAAATTTCATCTATTATATAACATTTAAGAGATAAAAAAGGAATTGACAAAATTATTTTATAGAACTTTTGGTGCAGTGAGACTAAAATGAAAGACATATGATTTTAGTCGATTGAACATTATGCAAAGAGCTAGATGCAAAGAGCTAGATTAGCTGACCAGTGAGCGAGAAAACACGTCGCGGAAAGGTGGAGAGAAGGGGGTAAGTGTGAAGGAGGAAGATGCTGGTGAACGTTAGGGCTGGGCTTACGCCTGCGAAGTGGGTACGCCTGCGGGCCCCATTCCCATTTACGGCAGTCTGGTGCGGTCTGCGGACCTTGTGGCTTACGGCCTTTGTAAGAAGTGATGGTATGGGCTTAAATCATTGGTGTAGGATCTATTGGGCGTAATCCGTTTGGAGTATCAGCTTGTGGGCTGAGGCATTGCTTGTTTCAAGCTGGTGTGGCGAGATGAGGCAAGTAAGAACAGCTGCATAGGTGTTAGACTGACTATTTCTATTGCATGTAGAGGGTTGGCATTGGCTCTTGGGCTGATTTAAGAGTCAAATTTTTGGGCTACGGCAGCGCTCCCCACGGCAGGTGGTGGTCAAAGCCGGAAGAGGACAAAGCCGAGTGGTGCACGGCTGATTGGTATAGGTCCGGAGAGATCCAAGGCGTTCTATTCAGGGCTTATTGGTGTACAAAATTGGTGGTGCACGGCTGCGCTCCCATGAGCTGCACGTGTTGTGTACAAAAATCGTCAAACAAACGTTCGAACTTCTGACATTGACTTCGGACTACCGCCCCCCTACCGCCCTCTTCTTCCTTACCGCCCCCCGAAATCTTTCCACCGCCCCTAGGGGAGCGATATCGCCCACTTTGGGAAGCACTGACTGATGGATAATTAAATATTTGTACATCACCTTACATTTGTGATCTCGCTTTGTTTCAAATTCTTTATTCGTAACCGTTAGCGTTAGGCGATATTTGAGATAACATGCGGAACCAAGGACATTCCAGTGTAAAGGCTTCAGCTAGACAGCTACCATGGAAGCTGACTGCACAGTACCGCGCTCGCTATTGACAAGTGACATGTTATAGTTGTGTCGTGCATTACGTTGAGCTTACTGTTGCTTTTGTACCTTTGAACATTGATCGTTTTAAACATTGAGTTTCAATTAGAAAATTTCAGACTTCATGCGTTATATTCTATGGTGTATTCTGAATAAAATGACATTTCGAGTTAATTCATCAGAGAAGAGGCAATTCAATCCACAAGTGCTTCATATATTGATCCAAGTGATCAATCATTACATGAGCATGTTAACGATTTATATTTGGGTGGACGTTGCATGAGAGAGTTATACTTGCTTCCAATCGGGGAAAATCACGTTAGATTTAAAACGGATTGTTTGAAATTCTTAGTTAAGTTCAATGAGTTGTGCTTACAAATAAAAAAAAAGATTCCCTTTAGAAGAAGATGGCATTGTTGCAAATTTACATATATTAGATCACTCTGCCTCAAGAGATATTACTAAATCTCCCAGTTCCATAGTGAACGCAGCACAGAATTTTCCCCATCTAATTCCTGAGGATGTTCTTGACAAACTCGACGATGAATGGAGGCTCTTTTGGCAGTTTAGCGATGTATCTTTAAACTACACTTCAGTCCTTGGCTTCTGGCATTCACTGCGTAACATTAAAGACGGGATGAATCAACCAAAGTATGGAACTCTTTCTAGTTTATGATAAATCTAACTATATTGCCTCACTCATCCGCTTGTGTTGAAAGGATTTTTTCGCTCGTTAACCACGTTAAAACGAAGCAAACAAACTCGCTTAAAACTGAGACAGTGGCAGAAAGATTATTAGCACGGCAGTTTCTTGCGAGGAAGCAACAGAATTGCTACACATGGAAGCCGAAACAAGAGTTGGTGAAAGACGTTGTAGATGGAACCTGCTTCCATATGATATGAACAGCGTACTAAACAAAAAAAAACAGAGAGAACATCAATTTAGCAGCAGGCGAATACTTATAATTCCATCAGAAGTAAGTAAAATTACAATGTTTTTGATGAAATTTGTCGTCTGGGTTTTTTTCCCACGAAATCTGCAGAATCTGGGTGTTTTTCAGCAACCATCTAAGTTTTTCTCAAATTGTTGGCTGGGAGCCCTGAAGCTGACGCGTTAGTCCTACACGGAAGTCCAGTTGGGTAGGTTGTCGCCTTTCGTAGTTGTGCAGTCACCCCCGTAATCCTAAGTTACTAGGTCCCAGGACTACCGAAAGTTAACAAAACTGTATTTTGGAGCGTTTTATAGCTGAACAAATTCTGGTAGATGGTTGTACTCGTGAATTTTGTTCTAGTTAATCGCACTTTTTATCGCATATGGAAGTTAAGTGGCGTAAACTGTACTTGAATAAATTATAAAACACAAACAAGGTCTTTCAACGAAGCTTGAGTCATTCCTGCTATTAATTTTAAGAAATAAATATTCTTATTTTGATCCGAAAAGTTTTCTAGTGTTTAATTACATTTAACCATCAAACAGACAAAACACATCTAACATTTTTCCATGACTTCAATTTAGGAGATATACATATCGAAAGTGACTAGTGAACAGTGAGTAACATTCACAGCTCGAGGTAGCTTTCATTCAGGTAATGAAGTTGAGGTGCTTCGAATTCGGACAAATGATAATCTGTTCGATTAAACTTTTTTAGTGTGTAGTCTGCTTTTCAGATTAAACTGCCTATTATTGTATATGTTTCCTCCTTAATCTAATTAAATTCTTGTCGTTTGCCCTCCGCAGACTAACATATATTGACCATTGAACCCTAAAAAAATATTTGAAACCTCCGCTAAAAGTTTTACTGCCCCTGTTAGACTTGACACGTGGAGCTCAAGTTCGTGACGATGCATGCGAAATCTTCGCTGATGTTGTTGGCTGTTTTGTCTGCGGCCACGGCGCAGAATCAGGTTTGTTTCCTGCAGGCAGAAACGGGAACATGCCGAGCCTTCCTGCCGTCTTACTACTACAACACGCAGACTGGGTCCTGCGACTGTTTTGTATTCGGTGGATGCAGGCCTGGAGGGAATAATTTTAATACAATCGAGGACTGCATGAGAGTCTGCAACGTAAATCCCGCTACGCAGATCTGGTCAGAGACTTGCCAGAGAATTTTTGCAAGAAACACTACGCCCTCGCCAATCCAGCCTGTTCAACCTCAGCCGACTCAACCTCCGACAGTTCAGCCTCAGCCTATTCAACCCCAGACTCAACCAATTGAACCTCAAGTTCTTCAACCTCAACAGCCAACAGAATCGCATCAAGGACAGAAGCCCGTTGACCAACAACAGGTACAGCAGGTTGACAAACAGAACCTCACACCGAACCAAATCCAGCAGCTGCAATCAATTTTCGAACAATTATCCACGCAGCAGAATGTTCAAAAACCACCAACAACAGCACAACCTTCACCAATCCCACCCGCAGTGCTACCTCAGCCTATCAGGACCGTCGTTAGACCTCGTCCTGACGAGAGCAGGGAAGACGATGATAATGTTAGAGTGTTCAAACCAGTTTTCCCACCTCCTCTGCCTGTTTTCCCACCTCCTCTCCCTGGCGTGGTTCGACCGCCTGTTCCTCAGCAGCAGAGGCAACAGTTTTCAGCTCAGGAGGCACCGCAAGAGCAGCGAACTGTCGCCTCGGGCACTGTATTCGGGTCTGTCACTCAAGGGGGCCTGCCGATCGCCGTGGGACAACCTGTCAGGATCACAGGATGAAGATGTTGTCATAGAATGAAAGCTTAAAAAATTGTTTAGTGTAATGAATGAAAAATTTCTTATTCACAATTAAATACCCCTGAAAAGGTTACCTTAAATCTTATAATGTCTCCTTCTACAATCAAGGTTGCAACAGCTTATCATAGTTCATTTATAATATAATTGGTATTTAATTTTGAAATTTTTTAGAGTATTTCAGTAGTTTTTCGTTCTTCTAACTTCTGATGATGTATAAAAAATTCAAACAAGTAATGTCATTTATGATGAATCAATCACAAATGTTTCGTGCTTCCTGTTCAATTGCATCCTGAGACAATTGTAAACTTTTTTTTTAGATTTATTGCTGATTTTTATCAGATTATAAAATGCATTAGAATCGTGCAAGCATCCCTGACATTAAGGTCTCAAGGCCAGGGGCGCCGCGCAGTCCAGTTTTTCCAGAAGACGTCATGCATTTAATGTTTCCTGTTCAGACCGCTTATCCAAGATCACTCGTCATTGCAGGTTTATTTTCTCCCGAGTAGGCTTAAATCTCCATAAATTTTTTCAAGTTCATAATTGTTGCATAGAAAATAATTAATGTTAAATTTTTTATATTATCTAAATTTGTTCTCATCAGGGATATTTGTATATTAGAAATACATTAACATGAAAATATAAATAAAATGATATTTCTTTCTTGTGATTAAACGTCTCTCTACTTTTTATACCGTTGGATACTGAATTTATGCCTCTGAAAGAACGTTATTTTTTAATTTGTGTTCAATGTTTTTAAATTAATCTAAAAAATGTGTGGCTTTCGAATTGATTCAACTCTGGAGATCTAAAAACACAGTAGCTCTAAAATAAATAATAATCTTCAAAAACTTCTGCGATTTTCCTAATTTTAAAGTTAAGTCAATCTGTAAATGTTCTCAAACGCTACAAATGGTCAGAATTAATGTTATTTTTAATGATGCGAATGTGATACATCATCTGATATTGTTAAGCAGAACAAATATACTGAGTAAGGTACGCGATATACGCACTACACACTGAGGTGAAATGTGCTTGTTGAATATAACCTTACACCTTCATATTTGTTAGTCGCCGTTCGTGGCACACAAATTGCTACGAAGAAAATATGCTTGATCACGCGATATGAATTTAAATCGGTATGTAAATTTGTAACGTTCATTTTCAAAGCCTGTTTTGATGACTCACGCTGAGGCCACAAAAGAAGTTAAACACTCGTACGTTTTAACTAGCCAAGTATAATTTTTCGCTGTTCACTGCTGCCTTTAATCGCTTGAGAAAATCTTAATTTTTTTTCAATTTTATTCATAACTTATCGCTAAAAACGGATGCAAATGCACAAAAAAACAGTCTTTTTGAGCTCACCTATACCATGTATCAAACGCTCGTGATCTTAACCTGTTACAAAAAATATCAGCTGAATTGTTATTTATGATTGCCGGCTGGTTATTTTCTGAGACTTCATCAGCTAGAACTTTACATGGACATCATAGTAGTAACTTAATATTACATAGAAGTTCAATGCCGGTTTTCTGGCTTTATACGCTCAAGAATACAGTTTGTCACTCGGCAAGAAGAGCACTTGACTTTATTGGCCGTTTTGCACTCTAGCGTTCTTACCTATGGAAGGTTGCAGCTCGTATAGGTTAGGCCTGAAGAGGTTTGGCCAGATGCAGTATGGCCATATTTACCTTTGGCAAGCTTAGTTTGTGGCTGTGGACATCCGGCGCTATGGCTTTGAGCACTTGACTTTATAGGCCGTTATGTCCTCTAGCGTTCTTACCTATGGAAAGGAATTTGAACTAAGTGTGAAGTTTGGCAAAGCTGGCCTCCGGCATGCGCCCCGGACTATTTAGAGGTCTATTTAATTTGTATAAATTTTTCACTTCGTAACCGTTTAGATCATACGTCGACATTCCATTATCTGCTCATTTAATATGAGTTAATGCTTGTTTTCCACCAATGCAGTGTTTTTTTACCCTTTGTTCGTCGGTTATCCGAAAAATTAAAATACCTATTAAGTTTGAATGCAACAAAGTTACTTAGTTACGGACAATATTCACACACCGTCATCGCTGTTTTTGGAAGATGGTCTGATGGGAATACAAGCCTAAAATCATAATGCAATACGTATTAACCGCATTTTATGGGCTAAGAAAATGCCAAGATAATTTACTAATATTTTTATTTTGCATACAAATTTCTCGGAGACAAACTTCTCGGAGACAAGCTATATCATCAGTTAGTTCTATCATCAGTTAGCTCTATCATCAGTTAGTTCTTTCATCAGTTAGCTCTATCATCAGTTAGCTCTATCATCAGTTAGTTCTTTCATCAGCTAGTTCTTTCATCAGTTAGTTCTTTCATCAGTTAGCTCTACCATCAGTTAACGATGGCTCCTCACGTGACGTCATACACTTACGGCTGCTAAATTCAGATCTGAAGCGACGCGTTAATAATCCATTTAATGATAAATAACTATCAGTACGCTGAAATTATTAGTCAATCAATGCGCAATGTCACAAAAGACTCCTAAAATTGTAACAACTTCTTAAAACTTAAAATATTATTAGATACAAAAAAGACAATATGGAGGTCCAATAGAAATTAAACTTATGTTTCCAGTTGGCATTCACTTTCAAATTAATTGCAATGACAAGGCAAGGTAACCATCATGTGGACTGCGACTGCATATTAGCTTAATATTTTTATCATGTGACTCGAAACCTTGGAATATGATCATATTAGGATCTTTGAGGGTTTAGATCAGTGGTTCCCAAACTTTTTCAGGCTGGCGCCCCCTATGGCTCCCTAGTGACCTTCTAGCGCCCCCCACAGACACATATTAAAACACACGCCTCTTTCTTGAAATTTAGTACGCTGCAATTTTAATAGATAAATGTTAAACACTAATGTGTATTTCACAAATAGAACCCCATTTAGTGAACCAATATGTTTTTAAGCTGTTTTAACTGTTTCAGCACTAGAAACCTAGGACGTCTCGGGCAAATTCACGGCCGGACTCGTGGCCAGTCGCACGAACAATCTCCAAAGTCAATTATCAAGTAATATCTCCCAAACTAATGAACGCAGTTCAAGGAAATTTGGAACATATATTCAGCAGAACCTAACGTTGTTTTTTAGCTCGTAAAAATTTCGAAATTTCATTTTCATTCGTGAGTTATATTGCGATAAAGGCCGAAATTCGCAGTGATCAAAGAATTTCTTCCAAACTACTGAACAGATTTGAACGAAATTTTGAATATGCATTCCTAACTACCAAGCGTTGATTTTTTTTGGCTTTTAAAAATTTTCGATTCTCCCTTTGTTTGCGAGTTTTTTTTTTTATTTCACAGTCATTCTTGATTTCACACTTCTTTATATTCGGCCCGTATCGCCGGATAATTTGTCGCTTAAATTCGCGGCGATCAAGAAATTTCTTCTTAACTACTGAACAGATTTCAACGAAACTTTGTATATAAATACCTAACCTCTCAACGGCGATGTTTAGCTCGCGACAATTTTTCTATTTTGCTTTCGTTCGCGAGTTATACAGATATAGGAGGAACGACCGGCTTTTCTACCGCCGGTTTAACCAAGAGCCGTTTACGAATATCCGTATACGTATAGCCGTATAACTCGCAAACGAAGGCAAAACGAAAAAATTGTAGCGAGCTAAACATCACCGTTGCTGAGGTTAGGTATTAAAATACTAAGTTTCGTTCAAATCTATTCAGTAGTTTTGGAAGAAATTTCTTGATTACTGCGAATTTAAGCACGTATTGCTGTTTAAATCACAAATGAAGGTGAAATAAAAAAAAAACTCGCGAACAAAGGCACAATCGAATAAATTTTCATGAGCTAAACATTAACGTTCGGTAGTTAGGACTGTAAATTCAAAATTTCGTTCGAATCTGCTCAATAGTTTGGAAAAAAATTCTTGATTACCCGGTACTGTGAATTTCGGCCCGTATTGCCATATAACTAAGGCAAAAACAAATGAAGACAAAATTAAAAAAAAATCACGAGCTTAACATTACCGTTAAGTCCAAATGAATACGTGTACCAAGTTTCATCGAGTTAAGTTTATTAGTTTGAGAGATATTACTTGAACATTGAATTGGCCGTGAGATCGGTCGCGAGTCCGGCCGTTAATTTGTCCGAGACGTAAACCCAGGAGAGGTTAAAAAACAGATCTGGGTGAAAAAAACCATCGCTGGGAGTCATGATGTGCTGCGCGTGTTCTGTACAAATCGTCAAGCAAACGTTCGAACTTCTGACTTCAACTTCGGACTACCGCCCCCCTATCGCCCCCCAAACGCCCTCTTCTTCCTTACCGCCCCCCAAAATCTTTCCATCGCCCCTAGGGGGGCGATATCGCCCACTTTGGGAACCACTGGTTTAGATGAATCGTGGCTAACGCAGGAATTGAAGGTTTTACTGAAGCGTAGTGATAATAAAGGGTTATATGTATAATAAAGGATTGAAGAGATATTCAGGGTAGTTTATTTAAGTAAAAGGGTCAGAGGCTATCTCAGTTAAGAGGTGGGAAATTATGGCTAGAACCAATCAAGTAAAATCAGCACAAGTATAAGGAGGTTACGAGACACAAAATGGAAGATGGCCAAAATCGATCAGGCTAAATCAGCGTAGGTATTAGGAGATTATGAAATACAATAGCCTAGGTTCAGCGGGAACTGTAAAATAGTGCAAGGAAAGACCTGTGAACAAGGTCATAATTAAAACATGGAAACGATTATTTCGACAGTAAAATATTCCCACATTTAATATTCATAATCATAGTTATTGAGGTTCACAAACAACAATGTTGATTGTCAAAGGATTTGGGATGCTATTTCTACTGATTCCGTCATAAAACATTACAATAGTTTCCTGATAACTTCGCTCTACCCAGAGAATATCATATGATTTACTGACTGAATAATTTATAATTATTTCCTAGTGAACTTGATGAGATCCAAAATAAGTAGTGGAATTCAAGCTAATTAAGTTACGTAAAGTGACAGATATTTATGATCAACAAGTTGGAGGTTTAATAAAATTAATTACGACATCCAGAGTAATGACAGTGCCAGATATCAATTTTGAGTACAACAAAATAGTAACATTACAAATTATAACAAAAAATGTTTATTCTCTATAATACATGCTTACGTAATTTGTAAACTTTACACTCACCCAGTGGTCTGTTAATTCACTAAAACACAAAAGAAGAACCTGACAGGCTGACAACCGTTTACGGACGTGTCTCTTTTTAAATAGTCCCTCTTCTATAATCTATTTCCACAAGCTCTGGCGATGTTGCCAGACAGCTACGAGAGAATTTTTGCTTTCATCACGAATTATATGAGTTACAGAATAATTATATTTATGTTATTACCAGAGCTTAAAATTATTTACAAAATTATCAGATAAATTATAGATATTGAGACTGGCCATGATTAACTGGCTTACGATGCTGATTACGTTTGATTTTATTTTAATTCACTTGACGTAGTCATCAGCTGGGTTCACAAGTAACGTACATAATTTAGGCATTAAAATATATAAGAATACTCTTTCTTTTTAGTAATACTCTTGAATCACTATAAACGTCTATGAAATGATCTGAAATAAGATTATAGAACACAATGGAGGAAAACCTTATAATTTCATTGTAATTATATTACGATACATATTATCTATATTATTATAATTCGCTCAAATTAGGAGAAAGATACATATTACCTCATGACATCGTGACACGCAGAGAAACTCGTGAGATGGAATTAAATGTGTACCTCCTAAAACTTTCATTTTCTGTAGGCCATATCATAAAGAAATTTGAATTTGATGCTAAACACAATAAAAAATGAATATTTGGGAGGCATGAAATGATGGTTTATGTGCATGGATAAATCCCAGCATTAGCATTAGTTTTAATATTTTTTAGTATCCGCGTTCACTGACATGCGCGTTCCGGGTTACTCTCGAAATTATGGCGGTCGAGAAGCGTCTATGGCTTCCCGTTACTGGGACAAACGATTAAATGTGACATGTAGGAAAAAGCAAAAGCGTGAGTAATTTTGTTCACGTAAAAGTGTACTCATAGCAAATTGTTTGTAATACAACTCAGTGAAATCGTTTCTACCAACAATAAATTGATAAAATCTTCCAGTGGCCAGTAGCTCAACTTGTCCTATAGCCTAGGCTATGCAATACTGTATAAGTATTACTTAGCATATGTGACCTGTTTTTCATAATAATTCCGGGGTTAAAGTTCCTCTCATAATAACATAAATATGAGTTTGCCATTTTCTGAAAAATTTGCATCATTTTCATGTGTAAATTTCACCGGACTTATCAGTGATCTGTGCAAGGATGTTCAAGCGTTATTTACCGTTTCATGATTTTCTATCTCATCTCACCATAAAGCATAGTCTGAAAACTCTGTGCCGCATGATCGCATCATTGAATCCGGTTAAACTCTCTTGAAAGATCTTGATATTATTATGATATATTGTCAATTCTTAGTAGTTTTGCCCCATTTATGGAGTGTGTTTGTTTTTTCTGAAACTGATTTTCTAGCTTACTGCACAATCAACGTGATTGTGCGAATTAATCTAATTACCTATGATTTATGAATCAGTTACTATTTTAAATTTCCTTTTGCGTAACTTAACAAAGCAGTTGCACTGTATAACCCAGAGCGGAACTTTTCCTTGACAATATATTTTCATGTTTGTGTTATACCTGGGTAGAAATCCGAATACATTCTCGAACGCCTTGAATTGCTCAGTCGTTGCCGATTAACGTTCAGAAGAATTAGGCTACCCTCAAGACTAATGCAAGTTCTGCCTTCTTACGCTACTCTGTTTTGCAGAGCACGTCATGTGGAGATGGACTCAATATAAGATGTTAAGCAAATCTTTCATTGACACCCATCTGCGGCTTCTGGCTAAGAGGCCGCGCCAGTTTATATATAAGAATTGCGTGCAATGTAGTTTCAAAGATACAGAACAAAAAATATGTCCCTAATTTAAACAATTGATAAACAAAAATCCACTGGATGCCTATTTCAGACCTGGTAACATTTGTTTACTTATATTAATTCATTTATGTAATACTGACACATTTTTACTTTTTAATTAGTTCAAAACCGAATAAAAAATGCACAAACCATAGCCGATTCTTGGCTCACCAGTGCCGCAATTTATCAAAAGCTCGTGATTAGAGCTTGATATAAAAATTTTCGGAGGCATATCGAACCCGGTGGAAGTCGAGTATAGCATGTTTATTTTTTCTCTTTCTATTGAGTCGTGCTGTGTCGCTTCTGTGTGTGAAAGAATAAAGAATAAAGCTATTTCAAACTTTCGTTGAGTAGCTATTTCAAACTTTCAAATGACACGATTTTAGGTCTTCTGTGAACAAGGCACGAAAAGGAAAAGAATCGGCGACAGGCCACATCAGGCCTACACTGCAGCGCCGAGATCACTATGTATGATTGGTGGCTGGTTATTTTCTGCGACTCCATCTGATAAATTCCCAAGACGACTTTCGAAACCAAAGGAGGCGCAGCCATAGGCCACAAATTTAACTCTTAAATAAGCCCTGGTACCAACGCCCAGACTCAACATCACAGCATGCATTACCTCCACTGCGCACCGTACAGCTACGCTGGAGCACCGTAATCCAACCCAATGGGCAATGTCACACTGCATAAATATAATAGCGCCGTGGGCCATCAGCCAATACCTAAGTATGCTCGCACATAAACAGGCAGTTCCGCATCCAGCCTCACCGACTCCGTCCTAACCTCTTCTGGCGTAACCTCTTCAGACTTTCCTGCCTCACAGCTTTCTTGCAACCAATGAATAGCTCTACCAGCTCACTTGAACTGCCTCTCTAACTTCCTGAAGCCAATAAGGTTAGGTTACGTCCGCTCAGGTTTGTTTTGGTTGGGGAAACTTTGCAATTTGTGTAGGCTAGGTCAGAAGATGTTAGGCAGGAAGAGGTTATGCCAGATGCAGTATGACCATGCTGACCTGTAGCATGCTTAACTGCTTAAGTGGTTGCTGTGGACAACCGGCCACCAACGTTGGTTTTGAGCAGTTGATTTCGTAGGCTTCTATGTTCTTCAGGGTTCTTAAAATATGAATCGAAGGAACCCTTCAGGGAAAGGAATATGAATCGAGTGTGAAGTTGGACAAAGCTGGCCTCCAGCATACGCCCCAAAACTGAACAGGTTCTCAAGTGGTGCCGTAAAATCTGTTTTCCGGAGACAGGATAGCACCAGACCAGTTACAAGCAAGACGGCGGTTCAAAAGCACCTTCGAACATCGCTCCTCATATAATTTTGAGTGCTGTGTTTTATCCAACGAATTTACGCTGTAATGAGATACGAAAAATTGAATGCTAGTATATGAAACTCCAAGCTAATTAATTATCAATTATATATGTTAAAAGGCTTGTAAATTAGCCCACAATATTTTTGAGTTTACGACGCATGTGAAACTCGTTCTTATTTGAATCAAAGTCGTGCGTCTGCGAATTAGTGGTCATCACTCAGTGTCTCGAGCAGCGGGCGGATGCAGTGTCACTCATAATGTTTCTCGAAGCTTTTGTACTCATAACGTCCACTCACTTCATCTTTTCCGAGTTTCCTGTAGACAGTTTCTGCTCCGGAGAACCAACGGATAGTCGATGTCCAGCTTTTTTTCCGGCATTTTACTTCAATGCCACGACCGGTTTTTGCGACTGTTATATTTACGGGGGCTGCGAGACCCGTGGAAACCACTTCGACACTGCGGCCGAATGCATGGAGACTTGCGGCACGAACAAAGTAAATACCATTGACTGTCAGGAATTAGGCACTATTGAAATACGGATTCGTCTGAGGAACTCTAGCCGAATCGGAGAACAATCGGCCACGGATATTGCACCTCAGAGCGGTGGTCAAAGACCTAGTTCTTCCCTGCAACCATTCGGCCCAGCTCAGATACCATCTTTTCGTTCACAACTACCTGGCGCTATTCAGAGACCTCAGCCACTGTTACCGAGTCAAGGATCTTCTTCGGCGTCGCAGCTCCAAGACGGAACATTTTCGATCAGTAACAAGCCGCCTGTCATGAACCAAACGACGGTGAAACAAGTGCACAACATTTTCAACAACACCACCACTGGCATCAGACCTCAGGCCCCCAACCTACAGCCAGGTTGGCCACTTCTAACTGGCCAGGTTACAGTCCAACAAGATGTTCCTCGCACTCGGGGACAGGAGAGACCTGGGCTCCCAGGCTCAGCGGACCTCTTACCTCCGCAAGACAAAGAGCAAGCAAAACCCTTCGTTTCTGCAAGTGCGCAGGATTTTCAACGCAGACAAATTTTGAAGCAACAAGAAATCGAAATGCAACACCAAGCTTCTATTCAGCAACACTTGCAACTTCAGCAACAGCAACAGCGGCAGCAACATGAGCAACTCCTTCAGCTTCAAGAGAAACAACGCCAACAACAGTTGGCCGGTTGATAAACGTCATGATTCTGAGATTTATACTGGCTGATCTAAATTTGCAATTGATCATTTCAAAAAGTTTAAATTGATCCACAAAGATTTTCTTGAACTAATTTGCAAACCGTTTCATTGATACTGATCTCTAAACGTACGTAAATATGTCAATTTTTTTCTTACAAATCGTGTTCACGTTCATATGCCATAGGAACGTTTCTTCATTCCGTTATCAATGCAGAATAAATGCGAAGATATATGTAACAACACTTAAGTGATAAATCGCAAATTAATTTATAACATTTACCGGAGAAATGTAATTGTCGTAATTATTTCAGCATGAATATTCTTGAGGAAATTACCTTACTTTTGTCTATAATTAAGTAAAGCTTGCTGAATTAGACACCAAAATAATTATATAACCAATAATTGAAGTCAATTTAACAATCTAAAGTTGCAGTTACAAATGGCATCAAGAGAGGGCTCTTTAATTTGCACTAATTCTTCACTTCGTAACCGTTAAGATTATAAGTTGGCATTCCACTATCTGCTTCTTTGACTTGAGTTCATACATGTTTTTCACCGATGCTGTGTTTTTTACCCTGTGTTCGTCGGTAATTCAAGAAATTAAAATACCTATTAAGTTATTAGGTTTGAATGTAACAAAGTTACTTAGCTACGGACAATAATCATACAGCGTCATCGCTGTTTTTGCACGATGGTCTGATGGGAATCCAGCCTAAAATCATAATGCAATGCGTAGTGACCGGATATTATGGGCAAAGAAAATGCACATTTTTGGGCCATCTGGGGGGCATATTTTGGCTATATGCATCTATCATCTGTTAGTTCTATCATCAGTTAGCTCTATCATCTGTTAGTTCTATCATCAGTTAGCTCTATCAGTTAGCTCTATCATCAGTTAGCTCTATCATCAGTTAGCTCCATCATCAGTTAGCTATATCATCAGTTAGCTCCATCATCAGTTAGCTCTATCATCAGTTAGCTCTATCATCTGTTAGTTCTACTTCTATCATCAGTTAGCTCTATCAACAGTTATTCATCAGTTAGCTCTATCATCAGTTAGCTCTATCATCAGTTAGCTCTGTCATCAGTTAGCTCTATCATCAGTTAGCTCTATCATCAGTTAGCTCTGTCATCAGTTAACGATGTCTCTTCAAATGCCGTCATACACTACAGCTGCAAGCGTCCGAGCTGAAGCGACGAGTTAACAATTAATTTAATTGATTATTACTATCGCAGTATACTGTAATTACTGGTCAACCAATAAGCAATGTCATAAAAGATTCGCAAAATTGTAACAACTTCTCAAATTTTAGAATATTATATACAAAAAAGACGGAATGAGTAGGCCCAAGAGAAATTAAACTAATGTTGCCAGTTACCATTCACTTACAAATTAATTGCAATAACAAGGCAAGGAAACTATCTGTGGACTGCGACACTGCATATCATCTTAATATTGTTATCAGGGGACGCGAAACCCTGTTATATGATCCTATTAGGATGTGTGCTCCTTCCGACGAATTATTCAACTGTATCCCGAGGACAATTTTTCGTTGCCCTGTGTTAACTCACTCTATTTGTATCCAAACAGAACATGAATAACAATTGCTAACATTCACGGGAGTATAGCTGAGTACCACCAGTTATACCACACAGGCGTCCCACATTCACCACGGCCACGAGACGTTGCGGTCACGTCAAGTCATTGAAAACTAAATAAACAACCAGAAATAAGATTATAGCGCACATTAGAGAAAAAACTTATAGTTTCATTACATATATATTACGCTTCATATTATCTATATTATTATATTTCGCTCAAATTAGGAGGAAGATATAACACCTTATGACACGCAGAGAAACTCAAGAGATGAAATTAAATGTTTACCTCATAAACTTTGTCATTTTCTGGAGGTCATACTTTGAGGAAAATTATATTCTGCTAAACGCAATCAAAAAGTAACATTTTGAGAAACATGAAATAATGATTCATAATAGAAGAAGTGTGTACAATATAGTTTCAAAAGATACAGAACAAAAAATATAAGTCCCCAATTTAAACAATTGATGAACAAGAAATTAACTGGATGCCGATTTCCGACCTCCATACCATTTCATACATATAATAATTCCCTTATTGTACTTGTTATCTAACTTATCATAACTGGTTTATGATATCAACATAAAATGAAGTTATTTCATAGCGTATGGATCGTCAGAACGTGTTAATGTTGTTATTATCATATTTTACAACTATTGCATAACTTGAATCTCCCTGAACTAAAAAAAATGCATTGCAACTCATTCACGCGACAAAATTTCTTCTCGCTTCGAATTACCGACATGTGGATCAGCCTCCCCGATGACATCGTTGACGCTCCGAGTATGAACGCGTTCAAGAACAGACTAGATAAAGCCATGGAGAAATATATGTTCAGATTTGAAATGCCTCGAACCCGGTGGAAGTCTAGTAGCTATTTAAAACTGTCGTCAGTTTCGAAGACCCCGCCAAAGGACCTGTATTCAGATATCCTGTGAACAAGTCACGAAAAGTACAAGATTCGGCGACAGGCCTCATCAGGCCTATTCTTCAGCGTCGACACCATTGCACTGTGATATGATATGATAGGATATTTATTAGTCGCCGCTCGCGTCGCACAAATGACTATGAAGAAAATATGCTTGACCACACGATATGAATTTAAATCTGTGTGTACATATGTAACGTTCCTATTCAAAGCCTCTTTAGATGACTCACGCTGAGGCCACAAAAGTAATTATATACTCGTCCGTTCTAATTAACCAAATATTATTTCTCGCTGTTCACTGCTGCCTTGAATTGCTTGTGAAAATTTTCAAAGTAATCTTCAATTTTATTGTTAACTATCGGCGCTAAAAATACAAATACAAATGCGCAAAAAACAGGTATCAAAAGCTTATGATCAGAACCTGCAACAAAAAATCTCGGCCGAATTGCTATTTATTATTGCCGGCTAGGCATTTTCTGAGACTCCATCAGATAGATTCCCAAGATGACCTTCGAAATCAAATGGGTTCTAAAGTGGACTTAGGGAAAAACCATGGTTGAACTAGTAGAGTTCAAGCATGGGGAAAAACGCTCCAGATGAGCTTGGTCCCGGAAAATCTGTGTATCAAATACAGGATAACACCTGGCAGGATAGCACCTGGCAGGATAGCACCTGACCAGTTACAAGCAAGACGGCTGTTCAAAAGCATCTTCGAAAGTTGCTCCTCATATTATTTTAAGTGCTGTAATTTGACCAACGAATTAACGCCGTAGTGCGATATTAGAAACTAAATATTGGCATATGAAACTCTAACCGAATTAAATATTACTGATAATTAATAAAGGCTGATAAATTAGCCTACATTATTCTAGAGTTTGCAACGCATTTGAAACTCGTTCTTATTTGAATCAAAGTCCCGCGTCTGCTAATTCGTGGTCATCACTCAGTGTTCCAAGCAGCGGGTGGATGCAACGTCACTTATAATGTTTCTCAAAGCTTTTGTATTCATAACGTCCACTCATGTCATTCTCTCTCAACCTTCTGTAAGCAGTGTCTGCTTCGAAAAACCAAACCAAGGTTCATGCGAAGCTTATATTCCGTCATTTTACTTCAGTGCCAAGACCGGGTTTTGCAACTGCTACATCTACGGAGGCTGCGGGGCCAGCGGGAATCACTTCAACACTTTGGCTAAGTGCTTGGAGACTTGCGGCACGAACAGAGCAAATACCACTGGATGTGGGGCAAGACTCGACACTGATGATGTTGCGAGTCCTGTGGGAAACTCTAGCCAAATCGAAGGACGATCTGCCACTGTTGTTGAGCCTCAAAGCGGTGGTCAAAGGCCTAGTTCTTCTGTGCAACCATTTGGCTCGGCTCAGATACCATCTTTTCCTTCACAACTACCTGGCTCTATTCAAAGACCTCAGCCACTGTTACCGAGTCAAGGATCTTCTTCGGCGTCGCAGGTCCCAGCTGGAACATTGTCGATCGGTAACAAGCCGCCTGTCTTGAACTAAACTACGGTGCAACAAGTGCAGACCATTTTCAACAACACCACTACTGTTATCTGACCTCAGGCCCCCAACTTACTACAGCCAGGTTGGCCACTTCTAACTGGCCAGGTTACAGTCCAACAAGAAGTTCCTCGCACTCAGCAGACCGGAGAGACCAGAGACCGTATTATCAAAACTTCGTAAGTACGCAAAATCGACTTACGAGTGGCGTAAGTGCTGACTTAATGACGTAACTCTAGAGGTGGTATTATCAAAACATTTGCGCGGGAAGATACGTAACGTAACTGTATGCCTGCTCGGAGATGTCGTAAGTGGAGTTCCGCACAAGTTTAGAGTGTCTGCTGAAGCGATAGGAAACTATTGATTTACTAGCAAGTAGCGACACCTTGACTTGTGATGGCTCCACTACTTGATCGGGCAACATTTGCACGATCAAAATATGTGATCGTGCTAAACAGTGCTATTGGAAAAAAAATTCAATTCATTTTTTCAAAAAATTTCAAAATTTTTTTCATTCATTTTCAAAAATTCAATTCATTCATTCCTTCTAGTCGGTACTTCATATCTCTGCCAACCCTAATTTTTAGCTACGTACGCAGATTTCTTCTTCAACTCACGCTGTTTATTAAAAAGAGTTTACAACTATTTTAGAACTGCTTTTTCTGGGCCAACAAGGAGCAATACCGACAGACAGCATTCGATAGTCGATACCATCGAAGGCATCGATTCCCGCCATCGAAGTTCACAGAATGTAAACAAATCCAAAGCCTCTGATTGGTCAGTTGGCCAAAAAACGAATCAAAACGAATGTTTTGATAATGCCAAAATTAGGGTGTACTTACGTAACACGTAATTTTTTTTTTGTCGGAAGTACAAAAAGTTACGAAGTTTTGATAATACGGCACTGGGCTCCCAGGCTCAGCGGACTCTCTTTCACCACAAGATAAAGAGCCATCAAAACCCTTCGTTTCTGCAAGTGTGCAGGAGTTTCAACGCAGACAAATTTTGAAGCAACAGTAAATCGAAATGCAACACCAAGCTTCTATTCAGCAACACCTGCAACTTCAGCAACAACAACATGAGCAACTCCTTCAGCTTTAAAAGAAACAACGCCAACTACACTTGGCCGGTTGATAAAAGTTCTGATCATTAAAGATATGCTGACTGATCTAATTTTGCAATTGATACCATAATTGGTAATTTCGAAACTAAATCCACAAATATTTTCTTGAACGAACTTGCGAAACTTTTCGTTTATTTAGATCTTTAAACGTGCGAAATTATGTCTATTTTTTTCTTAAAAATTGTATTCATGTTCACATACGAAAGGAATGTTTCTTCGTTCCGTTCTCAATGCAGAATAAAAGCGAAGATGCATGTAACAACAATTAAGTGATGAATTGCAAATTTATTGATATCATTTACCATGGAAATGTAATTGTCGTAATTATTTCAGCATGAATATTCTCGAGGGAAAATACCATTACTTTTGTCTAGAATTAAGTAAAGCTTGCTGC